AGCAAATCTTGAAGTCTGGAAAATAAGTGGTCGGGCAAAAGGTGTAGGTTATGTACCAGGTGCTGATATCGAATCCCGTCAATTTGGACATGCATGGAATGCTGTCTGCCTCCGCGGTGAATATCTCTTGATCGAGAGCACATGGGGAGCTGGAATCGTGCAAGGAACCAAATTCGTTAAACGTTACGATCCATTTTACTTTCTCACCGTTCCTACGAAATTAATTTATAGTCATCTGCCGCGAAAAGATGAAGAACAATATTTATCGCCCCCAATCACAGTACAAGAATTCCTTTCATTACCTTTTGTAAAACCTCCATTCTATACCGCTGGATTATCGTTCACAAAGAGAATGGGCACCGAGATTGAAGTCAATGATAGTAGATTGGAGCTGGAGATTGAGAGAACACGGCCGGACGCAAATAAACCTTTGCATGCGTATTTGGAGTGGGATCATAGACAAGTGCCAGTGTTCATACAAAGACTTAGCGGTCATGGGAAACGTGGAGGACAACTATATCGTATTATAAGTGAGATTCCAAGTCATGGCGAAGGAAAATTAAACATTTTTGTTTTGCTGGACGGAACAGAGGTATATTTTATTATTTATTGGTTTTTTCCCCCGATTTTGGTTCAATTCTCATTAGTTCTTATTATTATTATTATTTTTATTTTTATTAGGGTCCACTTGCATCTCAATTCAAAGTACGCAATCATGGAAAAGGGATTATACATGGCTCACACACTGATTCTCCCTTTGTCACCATATTCTCCGTTCCACTTTCATTCACTATCCTTACCCCTATTCATCATACCCTAAAATATAACTCTAAGCAACGTTTCGAATTTGTGATTTTTGATCATGACGAAGAAACATTGCCGGAATTCTGTTTATTCACCCCCGGAAAAGATACAATCACTATACCAAAAGTTCTGAGAAATTTGAGTGATGGCAGTGTGACGTACGCTCTCGAGACTACATTGAATGAAAAGGGCAAATGGAGTTTGACATTTTTAAAGGATGAGGAGACATTAGATTTTATGGCACAGTATAGTGTAGAGTAATTAAAGTTTTATTTTGTATACTTATTTAATTTGTATTATGATAATTTAATTATATAGTTATTGTAATGTTTGCTTTATCTTCATACAATATAATATTAAATAACCTGCTCTTCCAATTTTATCGTCTGCATTGATTGAGCTGAAAGGAAGTATAATATTAATACCATCGATATTTTAAAGAAAGTCAATAAATAATTAAAATCAAATTTACCTGTTCTTCTCTTTCTCTTAAATTGGCTTCTTTCTTACTTTCAATACAAAGTTTTGTCGCATCTCCTCTTCTTTTCTCATCATATCTTCTACCATGTTTTGTTACTTCGTTCGATTCTGTGTTCGTAAGATTCGTCGCAGGCTAAAATTGATTCTGGACGACCATTCGAACGAAGTTTATCCGCGCGATAGTTGTGATAATGAATAGTGTGGCTTGTTTCAAGAAGATCGTGTAGTGCGTGAGTCATAAGAAGTTCACGAAGATGAAAGTAATCGCAATGATTCCCATTCCCTACTAAAGAAATTATGATTTAACTCATATAAAAAATTAGTTTAATTAATAAATGCAAAACGTAATAATATATACCCTCCACGACATCCCACCGATACATTCTTCTGCGTTACTTTTTTTCCATCGACATCCACAAAATTTGTCACTCCCGATTAACTGTAAATGGAACTTGCATGTTTACATTTATGCTAAATAAATTGGCAGACCAGAAAAATCAATTTACACCAAGATCCTCCATATGCTTGGAAATATCTTGATATTATTAGCTTCGGTATAAGTAAACACCCCTACAATATATTAGCGGAAATCCTAAAAACGAATCTGCACTTTGAAATTAAAATTGTTCCGACTCCACGGTAGTTTCATTTTTTATATTTCTGGTAATATATTGTAGGGGTGGTTATATTAACGGAAATTAAATGCCGATCATATTTATTAAAAATAAATTGGTTCAAATTTCAACAATTAATATGATGTACCTTTTTCATTGGTTTTAATAACTTTGTCTACATATCTTGATAGACTTAAAGTTTGTAAAGTTTCCAGTTTTAATAAATATCCCTTTCTCTTGTAATATATTAATCAATTCTTGTTTTAATGTGAATAATCTTTTTCAAATCTGATGATGCAGAATATTTCACAGATACTTAATTGATAGAATTTTGATCAATACAATTCAAAAGCCAAATATCATGGATCAACTCATATATATCAAAGTATAATCTGATAAGTTATCTTATTATAATATAGTATTTGAATTGACAAATTCAGATACAAAATTATTTGCAAGAATATTAATATAAATATTTGAATTCATAATTTAATCTACTAATATTAAAGAATTAATTTCATTTTGAATAAAATAATATTAAATTTAATATATTCTTGATAATAATCTTTATTAAATTTTTATATACTTTTATAATTTATTATGAAAATTTTGATATATTAGATAAATATTAATAAATTATTTTTTCAAAATAAAATTTTTAATTCTATTTTATTTAATTAAGTTATTAGATATTGGAATTTATTTAAATATAAAAATTTTTATTATATATCTTTTATAAAAAAAATTTTTACTAAAAATAACTTTTTTAATTATTATTTCTTAAATTTTACTATATAAAATTTGATTAAAATTAATATAAAAATTACATAGTAAATAATTTAATTACTAAACTTTGAATTTTAATATCTTTATAATTATTGATTTAATTTTTATAAAATTTAAAATATATATAAAGTAATTTGATTGCATAATTTAAAGTTTTAATTTTATAAATTATAATAATAATATTTAAAGTATCTTTTTTTTTAAAAAAAATAATTTTATTTTAGTTTTTTAGTAAAGTAATACTTTATTTATTATTAATTTAAAATATAATAAATAATTAAAATAGTATAAAAAGTAATTCTTCTTTATTATTTTTTATAAAATTTTTTATCTAAATTAATTAATTTATTTAATTATTATTTATAGTTTTACTCTAAATATATTACTAAGTTCTTAAAATTTAATCTTAAATAACTAGTTATTATTAATTATATAATATAATAAAATATTATAATATTAATTAAAATAATTTTATTTTATATTTTAATTAGTAAATTATTAATTATTTCAAGTAATATTCTTTTTTACTATTAATATTAATTATTAAAGTATATTATTAAATAAAATATTTTTAGTTAAACTAACATTTATTATTATAATATAATAAAAATAATAGATTTTTCATTTAAGTATATTATTTTTATTTTAGTTAAATATACTTTCTTATTACTTAATTTTTAATATCTTTATAATTTACTTTTTAATTTTGAAATCATATTAAGAAATTAATTAATTAAGATATTTAATCTTTAATTTATAAATTTTTAATTATAAAATATAATAATAATAGTATTAAGATTAATTATATTACTTTTTTTTATTATTTTTTTAATTTTAATTTGATATTTTTATCTTTTTTTTTCTTTTTTTTTAATATCTTCTTATTATTATTTCTTTTTTTATTTTCTAAACTTGATCTTTTATTTTTATTTATATATACTTTAAATAAAGCAAAATTTGAAAAATTTGGTTTTATTTTTTTATTTTTCAAAAATATATTAACTAGTTTTTTGATTACTTATTATTATTATTATTTGAAATTATCTGAAATAATAATTAAAGAAAATTTATTTGAATTACTTTGTGTGTTATTATATTATTTGTCTTTACTTGAGTATTATTAATTATTGATGAATTATTAATTATTAATACTAAATTGATAATTTGCAAATGAATAACTTCTCTTTATATAACTGGACTGATCACAGATATGACAGATAACATTTTATTATGATTGTCTATTATATTAGTTATTCTATTTATTATTATTTTGTTAATTATTTCTATTATTATTTTGAGAAGTTATTTCTGTTATTTTTTCTAGATAAATTAATTACCAACTGCAATAAGATGTATTATTATATTATTTAATTCATTTAATTGATTATTTACTGAAACTGGTGAGAATTTATTCATATAAGCTGACACTGCTTTCTGATCTTGATAGGTTAATTCAGTTGCTTTTGTTCTATTAAGTGCAGTATTTCAAGTTTTTGATGCATGACAAATTGTCACGCCGATCACTTTGCCAATGAAAAATTCCCTAACATATGTTACATCGATATCAATATATCGGAAAAAATACATGTCTATTTGCAATAAATTTTAAAAGACAAGGTTAAGTGATTTGCTGCATTCTTTGTGATATACTAAAAGAAGATCTTGTTTCATTGTTTCCTATAACTTTTACATATTAATCACTCAAGAGATTATTATTCTCATACTTTGGTTATGTGTATGACGACATCTATTATGTAACGATAAATACTACCTAATAAATGTTTTACTACGACAGCAAATCTAAAAATAAAAGTAATATTATAATGGTATAAAGTATAATAATAAAAAAACCAATAATTTGGCATGCCTTTCTAAGAAAATAAAGTAAAAGAACTTCTTGTAGCCTCAAAATTAATATAATATATAATATATTTGCAAAATGCACCATCGCCCCCCAATAATAAATAAATAGCCACTAAAATTTTCAGTCTAGTAATAAAGAAGTTAATACAAAAATAATAGTAATTGATTTAATCTAAAAATAGTAAATAATAAATAATAAATCCAAAATTGGTTGGATTTAATCAATAATTAAAACGGAGATGTTATGGTGATAATGTCACGACGATGTTGTTATGACAAGAAAAAAATTAAAATTGTAAATAATTGTTATTATGTAGTACTTATTAATTTTTCTTTCCAAATATCTTGCTGCCTTTCGAGACACTACTGTAAATAAAAGATCACAAGATTTATTATTTAATATCAACACAAAGATGCATAATAAATATGACTTGAAATAATTAATTTTATATATATTTACCTTGCTGCGCGACTTTGGTTATACAATTCTTGGAACTCACGTTCTTCGGCTGCAAGTGCTAAACGTTGCTCTTCCAATTCTGCCATAAGTTGTCGTCTGCGTTGATTGAGCTGAAAGGAAGTATAATATTAATACCATCGATATTTTAAAGAAAGTCAATAAATAATTAAAACCAAATTTACCTGTTCTTCTCTTTCTCTTAAGTTGGCTTCTTTCTCTCTTACTTTCAATACAAAGTTTTGTCGCATCTCCTCTTCTTTTCTCACCATATCTTCTGCCATGTTTTGTTTGCTTCGTTCGATTCTGTGTTCGTAAGACTCGTCGCAGGCTAAAATTGATTCTGGACGACCATTTGAGCGAAGTTTATCCGCGCGATAGTTGTGATAATGAACAGTGTGGCTTGTTTCAAGAAGATCGTGTAATGCGTGAGTCATAAGAAGTTCACGAAGATGAACGAAATCGCAATGATTCTCATTCTCAACTAAAGAAAATTATGAATTTAACTCGTAAATATAAAGAATAAGTTTAATTAATAAATGCCAAATGTAATAATATATACCTTCCACGACACCCCACCGATAAGTTCTTCCGCGTACTTTTTTTCCATCGACATCCACGAAATTGTCACTCCCGATAACTGTAAATGGAATATATTTCTGTAGTTGTAACATTAGGTGTAAAAAAGTTCGAGAAATAATGTTTTCGTAAGAGTACTTGCATGTTTACATTTGCTATGCTAAATAATTGGTAAACCGAGAAATCAATTTACCTCAAGATCCTCAACACTCTCCCGATCATCTGGGTATGCTGTTGGAAATATCTTGATATTATTAGCTTCGATATCTCTTAATATCTAATTTGCAATTAATTGACAAAATATTAAAATTTAATATTAATCCAAATGATAAAAGCATTCTTTTTATTGAATTTTGCATATTAAAACCTACAGTTTTCTTGAACGCCGCTTTTTCATCTTGTGTCAAAGTGTCAGCTTTTGCAATGACAGGAATAACATTAACTTTTGCGGATAAGACTTGAAGAGCTTTGATATCAAGTTCTTTGAGACTGTCGAGAATATTGAATAAAGATTTAAAATTTTTTTAATCATCGTATTCGCATTTCCCAATGCAAAAATAATTAACTTTGAAGACATACGCATGACCAGTGGGAGCAATGAAATACAGTAAAATATGTATACGAGTATCTGGAATAGCCCGTCGAAATTCAGGACTACGTTCGGCGGCATGATACGCTTCAAATTGATTATCAATATATTCAACAATGGGGTCGAGACTATGAAGATAATCAAAAAAAAATATCAATTTCAGATTAAATTATAGAATTTGTTAAATATATAAAATGGCACAGTTAGAAAACTCACTTGTGTTCTCTATTAAGTTGATCACCAAATCCAGGCGTATCAACTACAGTAAGATTAAGCATTACGCCATCTTCGGTCAATTCTATTGGCAAATTAAAGAAGCTGAATTTTAATCCAAGAAAACAAAAACGGTAAAATGCATCCGTTCCATTACTCTACCATAATGTACGGGGGCAACCTCCACAGTTTTTGTGGATTGTGGATTTCTCGGAAGAATTTCTTCTCGAAGGGGGGTATTAAAAAGTGTATTCATAAAAGTGGTTTTGCCAAGTCCACTTTCACCTGAATTTCATTTTCAGTATATCAAAAAAAAAAAATATTAAATAACTAGTACAAACAACACGGTATAGCCAAAATCCTCAGATAGATACATACCGACAACCATTATATTGAGTACATATGGCGTTCGTTTTGTTTTGTTAAAACGCTGCCGTGGAAGAGCATCAATACCTAGAGTATCTCGAAGAGTGACTTTGCGAGCTGGTGGAACTTTCCATGGTCCAGGATCCGGAAAGAGCCCTCTGTATAAATCATTTCACAAAGTAAACCATCAATATTTGTTGTTATGTGGCGCAAATTGCCATTACTTCGCACACGGCATGCTATCAGATGGACTAAGCACGTAGATTATAGCCAAGCACGCGTGCTTGCATCCAGAAATACATGAGAGTAAATTCGAGAACCATTAACGCGTCCAATAATTAATATATATTTACCTATGTTGTAAAGCGTATTCCTTTTCACACAAAAAAATAATATTGTTAATAAAGATTTTATACGTAAGGTAATCGACAACTATTTTTACATAGAAGAGTACTCGACAACTCACCAAAGGCATGCTTAAATAACAATATTAAGTATCGATTGCGGTAACAAAGAAAGAAGAAAAAAAAGAGATTGGAAACGAGTTGGACTTTTTTTTGAAAGGCAGTGGTAACTCTACTACTTTTGTAAATGAAGAGGAGGAAGTTGAATTAACACAAGCCCAAGTGCTTCTCAAGTTTATTTTTGAATTTTTCACCAGTAAAAAGTCAGGTAGAGTTTACTACAGCAATTAATTACTTAGATACGACCAAAATGGAAAAAAGAATGATTGGATCGTGTTCTTCGTTTAGCAACATGTAAGACGCTACCGCTACCATTTACGACAATTTTATCATTGCACAAATTTGTGGATCGCATATTTTGTGGTTGCCTTCGCGTGAAGATTTTTTGACTGTCCAACATTAATCAATCCATCACACGGCTTGTCTTCTACGTGTATTCAAAAATGATAATCTTATCCCAATTAATTTTAAGATATTTCAATAAATTAAAAAAATTTAATAAAAATTTTAATAACCTTGATGTCTAATTCGGTGAATGATTAGATTCTCTCTTTTGGTGTGTTCGTTGTCGTCATCATAAAATCAAAGCGCGTAGTTAACAAAATAAAATGTCTTATTTCGATGCTTACCTTTTTGATCTAATATTATTTGCTGCTGCAGGGATAATGTAATCAACAAAATAAACTCACAGCGATCGCTTATTAACGTTTAATGAATATCAGTATTTTGAGACATCACCGAGGAAGAATTACTCTCCGTTAGATTTTCGCCCAAGCTATCAAGTGGAGAAATATTATACACGTAACTTCATGATGCAGTTGTTGCGAGATAGAAATCATTTTCCATGCATCCATTTCATTTATCTTTCATCCATTTACTTACGAGAACATTTGGTATGCTGTTTGCAACGTTGACTAACTTGTGCTTTTTAAGCCTGCTCGTCTTCATTTTTACTTTTTATCTTTATAGCTCTTCCTTTGCAAACTCGAGTTATTTGTACTAAATGAGTAATATACACTGACGATACCTCGTCCATAACGCGAAGAGAAACCGTCACTAGCTTGTTCGAGTGATCCAAGGATACGATATCGCTCTAATTAGAGGTGTGTAAATTTTTGGACATTACAACCTCGCCAGGCATGTAGACTTTTTTTCATACGCCATTATTTTTCAACGTAGAAATCAGAAAGATTTGCATACAAATTCAGAAACATTCTTTTGGGCAAGGGAAGCATCAGCAATTAGCCTACTGAGATTAATATGCTCTGGGATTTGGAACATTTTAGAATATGAAATCACGTAAAAAGTTAAACTACCAATCATTTCTAAGGATCAGTCAATACGAAATGTATATTTGAGAAACATAAATAGTACATATTAATTTTTCTAGAGTATAATTTTGAAAAAATCCGAATTATTTAATAACTGAATTCATTCCAACATCATTGTTCAGATACTATGAACTTTCCTAAATTAATTACAAAAATAAAACTTAAATCGTAATACATGCATAGTAAAATGAAGGCATTGAACTGGTACATTAACGTTAAATCTGTCTCAAAGAACTTGATAAGTCTTATCAGCAAAAGTTATATTATTCCTGTCATTTTTAATATTTTGATTGAATCCTAGCCAATGGCAAAAAAAAGTGTCGGGTCATGTGATTTAAGAGTTTAGGATTAGAGTGTCGGCGTTAAGATTATCGGGCGCCTATCTAAAGTAAAATTTTTAAAGGATCTAAAGCAAGATTTCGCAAAGAACAGAAATAACATTAAAATCAAGCAATATTAAACCAAATCATGCGACTTTAAATTAGCCAGCATTAAAGAAATTAAGTTATAATTAAGAATTGAGAATATGTTTATTAGTATAGCATTAGAATAAATAAATAAAAAAATATTCTTATATTATAATATTGTAATCTTTTTTAGTTCTTATTTTAATTCTTAATTTTATTCAATATTAGATTTTGCTAACAAAGCTATTTAATAAAAAAATTTAACATTTAAACAATCAAGTCTTGATATATATTATATTAATATCAAAGCTAAATATAATAATGTGACTGATATTAAGTAATCTTTTCTAATAGATCTTTATAATTATATTTATATATTTAAAGACTCTGAAAATTTTATCAAGCAATACTAATACAAAAGCTTGTAATATTATTTTCTTTAAAGATT